CAATTTTTGGTACACGAAGTCTGAACAAATCCAGCCTCAGCTAGCCCAGCGCCCCAACCACAACTCATGCGTCCATGGCGGGTTGTGCTTCAATTGTTGGGACACGAAGGCCAAACTAATCAGGCCATATTTTCTTTAGCTGGGACCAGGTGAATCGCTCAGATTTGTACAGGCTTGACCTCGTCGGCGTTATTGTTGTGGTGGCCTGCGGCACGGCGGGCCAAGAGGGCTGCTTTGTCTTGTTGATGGGCTACCCTCTTGCCGCCCAGCTCTGCTCCACTGCTCGCCGCGGACCTTTTCTCTAATCTGCTAGTCACCGGATGGCTCAAAGATCACCAATCCTGTGACGTTCTTGCAGGATTACCGTATCGATGAAATTGAACTTTTCCAATTTTACCCTTTTTGCAAGGAATACTACACATCTAGTCTAGTAGTATGAATGAATATTAACCTTTAGATCCGCAAAATTGGATGGTCAATATTTATCTGATGTACCGTAAAAGGTCTCTTTCTTAATACTGCATGAATTCACTCTTTTCTTCCCGTATCCTGTTTGCTATAAACAGATAATGTAGTTCCGTTATGTCAAAGTGATGAAAATAGGAGTAACCCAGTTCAAAAGAAAATTTTGATTGAAAGTAATGGAACTAATGTGTAACAAATGGTGCTTAACTGTGTATCACCGGAGAAAAAATAAAGTTTTTCAAGTATATACTCCCTCTATTCCATAATGTAGTGCGTACAGATTTTTTGAAAATCAAACTTTGCAAGCTTTTTCCAATTAAGTTTATAGAGAAAACTGTTTATATCTACAATACCAAATATATAAAATATGAAATTACTTCTTACAATGAATCTAATGATATATGCTTGACATTCTAGATGTAAATGTTTTTCTCCAAAAACTTAGTCAAAGTTTGCGAGGTTTGACTTTTTCAAAAAATATATATGCACTACCTTATGGAACGGAGTGCGTATATAGTATGTCATAGTTGTCACATAAACAAAGTGTTTTTTACCATTTTTTCGAAAAGCGGGTTCGCCCCAGCCTCTGCATCAGAACAATGCATACGGCCAAGATTATTAATAAGTGAAAGGTCCAACACAAGTCTCCATGTCTCGAACAAAAACCAAAAGAAGACTCACAAAGAGCAAAAACAAAGATAGAAAAGCCACAACCGACTGGCAAAAAAAGATAGAAACACTAAATGCCTATCCTATTACATGACCGCCATCCAAACCGGTTGAAAATATCCCGTGCTACCATCTCCCATTGGGTAGATCTAATAACTAAATGCTCCCTTGCCTCCGTCGGAGTGAGTAGCGACCACACACAGATCAACGCAGTGGCTCGAAAGATAACCTGCAAAAAATGAATTTTTGTTGTTCTGTTAAAGACCTAATCATTTCTGCAATTTCAGATTGCCCATAATAACGCACAAACTCCTACACGAATGTGTTTCGCCGTGTCAAAATCTATCCTATCAAGCCACGTCCCAAATAATATGGTGATGGAATTCGGAGGAGTAATGTTAAATGTTATGTGAACCGTTCGCCACATAAATTTTGCCAGAGGGCAATCGAGAAAGAGGTGTTTGATTGATTCATGTTGGTCACAAAAGCTACATCTCATAGACCCTGTCCAATTGCGTTTTGCCAAATTGTCCTTTGTTAAGATAACTTGTTTATGTACAAACCACATAAACACTTTGATTTTCAAAGAAACTTTGACTTTCCAAACATGTTTCGATCGGGGAATCGCGCTAGAGTTGATAACGTCCAAGTACATGGATTTAACCGAAAACTCTCCATTCTTAGTTAGTTTCCAGCACAGCTTATCGGGCTGTTGAGACAACTGGACATCCATCAATCTTCTCATGAGATTGAGCCAGGCTTCCCAACGGCTCCCTACTAGCGTCCTCCTAAATTGAATGTTGAGCGGAGTAGAGTGCAACACTATTGTAATGTAAGCGTCTCTACGCTGAGCAATGTTATACAAAGACGGATATTGGAGTGCTAGGGGTGTCTCCCCTAGCCATGTATCCTCCCAGAATCTCGTAACGGTACCATTTCCAACTATGAATTTTGTTCTATTGAAAAAGAGCGATCTAACTCTCATCAACCCTTTCCAAAAAGGCGAGTCAGTCAGCCTCACTGTCACCTGGGACAAGGTTCTAGAGTGGAGATACTTGTTACGTAAGATCTGAGCCCAAGTGGCCTCTATCTCGACAGAAAGCTTAAACAACCACTTGCTAAGAAGACATCTGTTCTTCACCTCCAGGTTTTCAATGCCTAGACCTCCTTGGTCTTTCGGCCTACAGATTATATCCCATTTAGCAAGTCTGTACTTTCGTTTTAGCTCATCACTCTGCCAGAAGAAACGAGATCGATAGAAGTCTAGCCTCTTCCGGACTCCCACAGGAATCTCAAAAAGAAAAGAAAAAACATGGGCATACTCGTGAGGACCGAATTAATAAGAATTAGTCGGCCTCTGTATGACATTAGCTTGCCTTTCCAACAGCACAGTTTCTTCTCAAATCGATCCTCAATACACTTCCATTCTTTGTTGGTCAGCTTACGATGGTGAATTGATATACCTAAATACGTAAAAGGTAAAGCCCCCAACTCACACCCGAACAGTTGTTTGTACGCATCTTGGTCATCATTAGCTCTTTCAAAACAGAACAATTCGCTCTTGTGGAAGTTAATCTTTAAACCGGTCAATTGTTTTAATAAGCATAACACCAACTTCATGTTTCGCGCTTTTGCCAAGTCATGCTCCATGAAGATGATAGTATCATCAGTATACTGCAGGATGGATACACCTCCGTCAACTAAGTGCGGGACCAGGCCTCCTACCTGGCCCGCCTCCTTAGCCCTTCCTATAAGGATTGCCAACATATCAACCACTATGTTGAAAAGAATAGGCGACATCGGATCTTCTTGCCTCAGTCCTTTGTGTGTTTGGAAGTAGTGACCTATGCCATCATTCGCTTTAATCCCAACACACCCTTTTTGCGTGAAAGAGTCTACCTGGCTTCTCCAGGCCTGATCAAAACCTTTCATACGCAAAGCCTGTTGAAGGGAAGGCCATTTGACCTTATCATACGCTTTCTCAAAGTCCACTTTGAAAACAACTCCGTCTAATTTTTTCGTGTGGATTTCATGGAGCGTTTCATGCAGGACCACAACCCCTTCTAGAATGTTTCTGTCCGGCATGAACGTAGTTTGGGACGGGTGCACCACAGAGTGCGCAATCTGCGTAAGCCTGTTCATCCCGACCTTGGTGAGAATTTTGAAACTTACATCAAGAAGACAGATAGGCTTGAACTGCTCGATACGAACAACCTCTGTTTTCTTAGGAAGTAAAGTTATCATTCCAAAATTTAATTGAAACAACTAAAGCTGTCTAGAGAATAAATCATGGAACATCAGGAGCAAATCTCCTTTGATAATATGCCAACACTTTTTATAAAACTCCGCCAGAAAACCATCCGGCCCTGGAGCCTTATTGTTTTTCATTTGTGCAATGGCCTCAAGCACCTCTTTCTCCGTAAATGGGGCGGTCAGAATATCATTCTGATCTGCCGCAAGTTGAGGGACATCCTCAACCCCGGACTCATCTAAGGATACAAAATTATCCTCCGAAGGTCCAAACGACTGCTTATAGTAATTAGTTATATAAACTTTAAGGTTCTCTTGTCCTAGAATTGTCCCCTCATCTTGCTCAAGCTGAAATATCCTCTTCTTTCGGTGATTGCCATTTGCAATCATATAAAAGAATTGAGTGTTGTCATCCCCTTGGGTGATTTTGCGAACTTTAGCTTGCAATGCCCACTTCAATTCCTCTTCTTGAAGGAGTTCTTTCAGTCTCAACTCCGCCTCCGCTTTAGTTTCCTGCCCTCTGGTATCTAAAATAGTGGATTCAGCTTTTATATTGAGGGATTGAATAAGTAGAAGGAGCCTTTCCTTCTCAGCCTTATAAATCCCATGCGTATGCTTTGCCCATCCACGAAGGGTATGAAAACATTACAGCCTCCTACGGTATCAATTATCACAGCCCTCCATTCCCTTGTTTGCTTTACGATCGACGTTGTTATTTTGAAAAGATGATCATGAGCTATAAATCTAGCTTGCCTCAAGAGGTCTCTCCCATTTTGCGAAACAACACTTCTTTCATCTACCCCACCATATTTTACAATGATTAACATACTTGTATAAAATTAATTAGTACAGTAATTTAGGATAATAACTACGTAAATTAACTGGGATAAACAGCTAAATTTAGGATAACTATGCAAAAAAATATACTGGGCGTTTTACACGTGCGTGCATCTATGTTTACTGGGTGTTTCTAGAGAAATTATATCCTTTTGTCAACTGCTACAGTTTTATAATCTTCATGGGACAGTGCCTCCTCACTTCCAAAATAAATGGCCTCTTTTGTTCAGTTATGCTTTCAGCAATAATAACTTTGTTGGTATTTATTTTATGTGGGATGTAGCTTGGAACGGGGTAGAGCATCAGAAGGATATATTTTTTTTGAAACGGAGATCAGGAGGAAATTAATAACGTGAGTAAAAAGTGGAGTACTTGCGTAAAAGCTGATGACTAGCTACGACTTGTTCTCCTTCCTCGCCTTCCTGGAAGAAGACTTGCATAGCATACATCACCAATTAAATTCACGTGCTGTCTGTAAACTATATACTCCATGTCAGACGAGTTGGTTATAAGTTAACTACAACTTACACTAATTAACCATTCACCAAAACTAGCTAGAGAGTTGGGACCAGGTACATGCAATCGTGTAGTGTAGAGCCCTTCAGCATGCATTCAGCAATACCAAGTAAAGACTAGTCAACGCGCCAACACCAACTTAAATTTGAACTTTGGAATCATTCAGCAATACGTGCCTCTATATAAACCTCAACGTGTCGATCCGTTTGGAGCATTCCAACTTTCAGAGCCAGCACACACGTCGAGCACAAAGTACGCGTACAATGGCATTTTCTTCTTCGGCGTCGCCCACAGTGATCCAGATACATCCAGTGACCAACGAGGACGGCGGTAAGATAACAGCCGCCGGCGCAGCAGCGCCAACACCTACCACGGGCCCTGCACCGGCCACGGTCATGTCGAGCGTCTCGAACCTAGCGCAGCTCCTGCCGACGGGCACGGTGCTGGCATACCAGGCACTGTCCCCGTCCTTCACCAACCACGGCAAGTGTGAGAGCTCCAACCAGTGGCTCACCGGGGCGCTGGTCGCCGTCCTCACCGTCTCGTGCCTCTTCTTTGCCTTCACCGACAGCGTTGTCGGTCGCCGCGATGGAAAGCTATACTATGGCTTCGCCACACTACGCGGCTTCAACGTGTTCAACTTCTCCAGCGAGGAAGAAAGGCAAGAGTGGAACGATCTTGACCAGTTTCGGAGGCTCCGCCTCCGGCTGCTGGACTTCGTGCACGCCTTCTTCGCAGCGGTGGTTTTCCTCACGGTGGCGTTCAGCGACGTGGGGCTGCAGAACTGCTTCTTCCCGGACGCCAGCAGGAACACCGAGGAGCTGCTCAAGAACCTGCCCATGGGCATGGCGTTTCTCTCCAGTTTTGTGTTCATCATCTTCCCCACCAAAAGGAAGGGCATTGGGTTCACTGACAACGCTCCTCCCCAGAAGGTGGTCCATCCCTTAAATTAATTAAGTCTGATTCTCGTAACTTGAAGTTGCCACTTGCCAGGAATTGATTGAAAAAAATTGAATCCTTCAGGAAATTCATACTCAATCGGATTTGACGACACCGCTCCTCGCAGGCGTAGAAGTTGCTTGACTGTACCATGTTGGAGAAAATCATGAAGTTTTTTAATTATATATGTTCAGTGTGTCTGTGTCATGGTTCTTTTGTAAACAAGAAAATGTTTTCTGTCCAAAGCAAGTGTATAATTATGTAGGTGCCTTTCGTCCCAGCCTCCCGGGCTTATCAGATTTCTCCATTCCCTTTGTTTGCTTTAAGCTTGATGTTTTTATTTTGGGTTTTTATCATTTATGCCACTAGTTGTGTCCCACTACTCAGTTTTGCCATTAGAAATTACAACTGCTCAAAAATGCCATCAATCCGTGAGATGCTTACTCAAAAATGCCATTAGATATCTCAAAAATGCCATCGTTCTGTTAGATGTTTCCTCAAAAATGCCATTAGACATTGTTATTTTTATGTCAAACCCGTTGACCATGTTCTATGACAAAAATAAGCCTAGAACCACATGTTAGTTCTCTCTATCTCACAATGATATGTGTGGCCCCACTTGTCAGGAGTAACCAAGCAAATAATTTTACAGGAAAATAAGGACGCTGTTGGGATCAAGTGGGCCCCATACTTTATTGTAGTGAGATAGAGGGAGAGCTGGCATGTTGGTTCATAGGTATTTATGTCATTATAACATGGAAAAAGAGATTTGAGATCACAATAATGATGTTTAGTGGCATTTTTGAGCATGTGTCTAATGAAGCGATGGCATTTTTGAGCAGTTGAAATTTCTAGTGGCAAAACTGAGTAGTGGGACACAACCAGTGGCATAACTGATAAAAACCCTTTTATTTTATACAAAAAAATCCTTAACTAAATCGAGTTTTTATCTAAAGTTCTCTCATATTTGGAGACCCATACCTTACACTTCTTTCTTATCTCGATTCTCAATTCAGTTTACAATGACTAAATACTTGTATGAAACAAAATAGTCCCGAAGTTTAGGATAAACACTTGAATTTATTGGATAAACACCTAATCAATTGGATCCGAGCCATTCCACTAAAAAATATTATGTGGACAAATCTAAAACTTGCGGTGTAAGAAGCGGATAGGGGAGGCCGCATATATACATTTAGAGACATTAAAATCGGACCTTAATCTCTCCATCTTAAGGCACTAGCAATTTCTGCCGTTTGATTTGCTGTTTTGGGCATCCCTAGCCATTAAATGCCCTTGTCAATGTGCGGATGGGCCGTGGATCATCATTCCTTGCAGAGTGGGCGAGGGACTAGGATGACGTTGCTAGGGCAACTATTCCCATTGCAAAATCAAAAGCATTTGGTTGATTCGGGTCTATGGATGGTTAGAAGAACCTCTAGTATGCTACCAGCAAGGGTCGCAACGGCCTCGCCAGAGCATTTATTTACAACAAAAAAGGTTACAACGTGTGAATCGAGAATGAGATCCAACAAAAATCTGATTTATAGACATATCGGTTATGAGAATTTCACAACATCTTAACTAAGTACTCCCTCCGATCTTGAACTAAAACCACAACACTTATTTTGAATCAAAGGGAGTAAATCTTAACATACTCCTACAGTCTAACTTGTCTAAGTTGAGGTTTTTTTTAATCTATTAAGCTGTTGCAAACACTGGTTCTGTAAACTCGTCTGCAACTTGACCATCCTTGGGTATGAACTGAATTTCCAATAATCTTTATGCCACACGCTCGCGAAATGCTAACCTACCTCGATGCATGTGCTTATGCCTCACATGGAAGAACGGGTTAGTGGAAGATATGTTGCACCACTATTGCCACAACAAAGAAGTGCAACCGAGCATGCTCATCCCCAAGCTCATTGTATCCATATCACCTCTGTTGCGGCATCGCTAGAGGTACAACTCATATTGTATTGTTTTATACGTAGTACACGATACAACAGCATGCAATGGACCTAGATTCCTCTGACTCCGCGAAGGATAAAAAACGATGGTTATTCTAGCAGCCGTGAGAAGGAAACTGCTAGCTAGCTAGCTAGCTACTTGGCTCGTTGCGAATTCTTTTCTCCAAGTTGGTTGTAATATGTTAGTGTGTTATTTCTTTCAAGTCTGTATATATGTTGCAGCGTTGTCCATGTAACCACGCACGTTGCTTTCCGTTTACTTCGTCGGTCCATGCATGCATTGGACCGTGAATCTTTCATCGATTTTCTGCTTCGGCGACCTTGAATGGAAGTACTAGATTCTCTCTCTCTCTCAAAATGAAAGAATAGAAGTAGTAGAAAGTGCTCTCCTGACTTCCTGAGCACGAGCTCACATGCACCTGATGTGAACCGTAAAATCCAAACAGTACTAAAAGATTTTTTTTAATTATTTTTTGTTGACGAGTGTTTCACTTGCATGCAAATTTTCGTGATAGAATCACATTCATAGAGGCCTGGGCAACAAAACAAAATTGATGCTCCCAAATGCTTTCAACAATAATCTATTTGAAGACACCGATGTCATTTTTTTCAAGACCTGCATGAACGTTATTTCATCCTGAAAACTTTTTTGACGAAACCTCGTCAGAGGGCGGGGAGCTCCCGCATTGCATTATAGAAGAAGAGAATTGATCCAGTTAATAAAGGGAAACCAGATCCAAAAACCAAACAAGCAGGGTTAATTAAGGAAAACCGGCAAAAACCACACACACAACACACAACTAGCTAGGCCCTAAAGAAAAAAAAAATATGACGGTTCATAAAGACAGTGACTCATAAAGACAGTGACAAACAAGCACTATTACCCCTAAAGAAAAAAAATATGACGGTTCTTATTCGGCATTATACGAATATATGGAGACAGTGACTCATCAAGTATATGTGCTATGTTCTTCCAGGGCGCGCCGCAGGGTCAAATTTGGCGCCGCCACTCGTGCTAATCTAGCTCTAAAATAAGTTCCAAGGAAAAATTGTGCTAATCAAGTAGACAGCACATGCATGGTAATGTCATGGGAGAGACATGCTGCATCAATTGACACGGTAAAAAGAAAGCGACCCCACGACACGAGCAGCAGCTGATCACATCGACGAACAAGAGATCGGCATATATATCTTCTAGTAATATTCAACGTTACCGGACGGAGAAAGAAAGAAACGTTCAAGGCCAAAAGATATGTACGGTACGTACGTATGACCAACGAATCAAACGGAAAGAAAGCTGCAGCTCGAAGCATCTATGTACGTACGTACGTGCGTGCGTGGGTGCGGATGTGGACAGCTCTGCAAGATATGGACCTTGGACTGAGACAAAATTCACGCGACATAACATATGCTCCTTGGACAAAAATGATTACTCTGGCTGGCTAGAAGCCCCTTGTAGCTTGGTTCTCACGTACGTACGGCTGCTACAATGACACCGGGACATCGATCGATCAAACGTTTTTGTTTTTATATAATCCTTTGAAACATTGGCGATCCTCATGGTCTGTCGTGCTGGAACGCTTGTGTTTTGGCGAGCTAGGCCTCTGAAGCTTGCGGCGACAGTGTATCTGTTCATGTTGCCTCTCATGCGTTTTGCATGAGCCGGTTGGTGGTTATACATGCGTTCTGTCTTGTTATACTCCGAGGAAACCCCTTTCTTATAGTACGAAAAATATATACTTCAAAAACTTCGCGATTATTTCTCTCCTTTGATACAATCAACAACTTCTATCACACATTTCATTGTTTCCATTTCCTGCTACGTTTTCCCTAGCTCCTTGTTTTTCTTCAAATTATGGGAATGAACTTAATTAGATTGAGTGATCGGGCTTCCTGCGAGGAGTATTGTCGCTGAATCCGATGCCCTTCCTTTTGGTGGGGAAGATGGTGAACACAAAGGTGGACAGAAACGCCATGCCCAGCGGCAGGTTCTTGAGGAGCTCCTGGGTGTTCCGATTAGCGTCCGGGAAGAAGCAATTCTGCAGCCCCACGTCGCTAAACACCACTGTGAGGAACACCACCGCCGCGAAGAAGGAGTGCACGAAGTCCAGCGGCCGGAGGCGGAGGCTCCGGAGCTCGTCCCTGTCCCACTCCCGGCTCTCGTCCTCGCCAGGGAAGTTGAACACGTTGAAGCCACGGGGCGTGGCGACGCCGTAGTAGAGCTTTCCGTCGCGGCCCAAGAGGCTGTCGGTGAAGGAGAAGAAGAGGCACATGACGACGAGGATGGCGACCAGTGCCACGGTGAGCCACTGGTTGGAGGCCTCGCACTTGCCGTGGTTGGTGAAGGACGGGGCCAGCGCCTGGTACGCCAGCACCGTGCCCGTCGGCAGGAGCTGCGCAAGGTTCGTGACGCTCGACATGACCCTGTCCGTGGTGGGGGTTGCTGTTGGCGGTGCCGTGCCGGCGGTTGTTATCTCGCCGCCGTCGTCGACTTCCTTGGTCGCGGTCGGCGGAGGCATCTGGATCGCCGTAGGCGAGGGAGAAGAAGTTGCCATTGTAGGTACTGTGCTCGATGTGGGCGTGCTCGCGCGTGTTCTAAATGCCAGCTAGGAATATTCCAACCTGATCCACACGCTACTGTTTATATAGGGAAATTATTAAACCATTGACGATTCCAAAGTCCAACCTAGGCTGGCGCACTTCAGCGTTGCTTAGTCTAACTACTACATCACTTGCTGCGTGTTGAAGGGCTCTACATGCATTAGTGTAGTTTTGTTTAATATAGTTAGTTATAATTCACACCAAAAAAAACTCTTTTCAAAAGGGGGCTTTTTAGAGATTGAAAAGAAGGTTGACATCTCGGCTCGACATAATTATAATGCACATGTCCATTATTTTATTGAAGTTGATGCAAGGCAACAAAGTTATAAACATCAACAAAGGGAGTACAACAAATAATTATGTCTAGACCATTACAATATATGAATGTAACACCTACGACTGGTCGACCTTTTTCGTGGCAACACCTTCAAGAAGGGATAAAGCCCTCCGTGATCATCACCACGTCTGGTCAGAGACAACCTGGACAAGGATTTACGTACTGGTTGCCCAGATCAACCAATAAACGCTAACATGCCACCATTGAGACAAGGCCTAATGCAAGTTGGTCACTGTTGAGCCTGGCCAATAAAGACTATGCCAAGAGTTTTCACTCTAGACATGGAGAGGTTTTCCAATCAACATCTTAATGATGGCTCTTCCAATAGTCACGTCAGTCAATACTCCATGCCAATGACACGAGAACATTTGTGTGAGACATCCAGACATAACTTGTCATGAGTAGTTTGCAGCAAGCATTTCAATTTGGCGAAAGTCTTCTTCCAGGAAGATGGGAAAGTGAGGAAAGAAACTAGCTAGTGATCTCTTGTGTATCAGAGCAATTCCAATCATCCCCTGCTCCACTCTCTATCTTTATTTAAGGTACTTTGGCTAAAAATTCTCAGTTTAGCCATCTCCTTACTTACCTAGAGTGTAGACAACTCTTAGTCCAACCTATTTCTCCACTACATGTAGAAGGATAGTAGGGCCTTTCTTTCCCACAAAACACCAACCGCCACTAGATTTCCCTTCCATCTCACCTACCCCCACCAGCCCCTGGAGCTTACGGCTGCAACCGCGAAATGTTGGAGCTCGCTAAAGGCCATTGGCGCCACTTGTTTGAGCTCGCCAACCGTCATCTCTATATTTTTATTCTTTCTTTCAGCACAAAAGAGTAGAAGGGAATTAGCGGGATGACCGTAGTTAAAAAAAAGAATCCCAATAAAAGGACCCCCAAAAAGGGTTTTAGGAAGACAAATTTAGAGGAATTTTTGTAGTTGCTCATTATTGTTTACTCACACTAATTTCCTGCCGGTCTACCAACCTTCAACATCTTCTGCTAATAGATCTTGGAGGCAGAAAAAATTGCTAGTTCTAGATCCGATCGAAGTTTTTTGGTTTCTTTGGTGTTTGGTTTTGTTTGGTTTTTCGTTGATTTTTTTACTTTTCTTTGATCAGGATTGTTGCGTTTTGAAGGGCTCTAGATGCATTTGTGTAGTTTCGTTTAATAGTTGTTGTAGGTTATAATTTGCACCTTCTTTCTCTTTTCAAAAGGAGCTCTTTTAGAGATTGGAAAGAAGGTTGACACACGATCTTTTTCATTGTAGTTGATGCATGACAGCAAGATTAAAAACATCAACAAAGAGACTACAAAAGATACCTATGTTAAAACCCTTAATATATGAATGTAACACCTTTGACTATGTAGTTTAGGTATGTGATTTCTACTTACCACGGTCATAAAAAAGCAGAGAAAGATTGCATCTCACCTCGCCGCTTTCTCCAGAAAAAGTTAGGGTTCCTTTGTCTCCCGCTGACGCCGCCGTCGGTTTGCCTCGTCTCCGGTGGCCCTAAGGCCATGGCGGTGTGGTGGAATCATGGTCCTTGCCGGCAGGAGGGCTTCATTTTTAGATGTTTCTTTTGATTTTGCTAGGGTTTATGTCCTGCTCGAGAAGATGAGACGACGGCGGCGGCTTCCTAAAGATGGAATAAGGTCTTCCCCGCCTAGTCTCAGTTCAGGTGGTGCGTCTACCATCATCGAAGGGCATGTGGAGGTGTGTCTTCGACATATCTCATAGGATTTTTGGTCGGTAGTTGTCTTTGGTGGATCTACATGGATAGTCTTTGTTCGTCTACGTTCGTGTGTCTTCATGTTGGATCCTTTCAATCTATGTGTCTCTTCATTGGTGGCGGTTGCTGCTCTAGTGCTCTGGTCCTATGCGGCCATAGCACAACGACTTCCTGACAATCTACTACATCAAATTTTACCCAACACCAGCAAGGGAGAGGCGATGATGTGGTGCGCCTTTGGCTCGTTTCAGTGCTTGTAGTCGTCGCAGGTGGTCTATAGATCTGGATGTAATTTTTTTATTTTTGGTGTAGCTTGTACTACCATGATTGAAGATGAATAAATCAGAAGTTTTCCCACAAAAAAACACCAATGACTAGGTCGACCTTTTTTGTAGCAACACATTGAAGAAGGGATAAAGGCCATGCGCTGTCATCACAACATCTAGCCAGAGACAACCTGGACAAGGATTTACGTCCTTGCTACCGAGACCAACCAATGAATGCTAGAACACCAGCAATGATACAATGCCTTATGCAAGTTGGTCATTATTAATCCTGGCTAATAAAGGTTAGGTCAAGAGTTTTCACCTCGGACATGAAGAGGTGTTCTAATCACCATTTTGATGACGATTCTTCTAATATTCATTTCAGTCGGTACTCCACGAAAATGACACTAGCAGATTTGTGGGACGTCTTCCACTTTAGACGTAGCCTAACATGAGTAGTTTGCAGTGAGCACGTCAATTTGGCGGAATTCTTCTTCGAGGAAGGTGGGAAGGTGAGGAAAGAAACAAGCTAGTCATCGATTGTGTATCAGAGCAATTCCAATCATCCCCTGTTCCACTCTCTATTACTATTGATGGAACTTTGGCTAATAAAATCTCAATTTAACCCTCTTTCTACTTACCTAGAGTCTAGAGCCCTTAGTCCAGCACATTTCTTCACTACATCTAGAGAGAGAATAGGGCCTTTCTTTCCCACAAATCACCAACCACTTTGAGATTTTTCTTCCATCCCACCAGCCGTTGGAGCTCACGGCTGCAACCACCGCACACCGGAGCTCACCAAAGGCCATCGCAGCCACTTGTTGGGGCTCGCCACCCACCATCGTCTATTTTTTGTTCTTTCTTTCAACACAAAAGGATAAGAAAAAAGAACAAGGCGGATTTAGCAGGATGATCGTAGTGTAAAAAGAGAGGATCCAAATAGAAGGAGCCCCCTAAAAGGGTTTTAGGAAGGCAGATGTAGATGAGTTTCGGAGTTGCTCGTTGTATTATTTAGGGTGTGGCTTGATTTCAGTCGACTGAGATTTAGCCAAGTCTTAATCAACTGATAGAACATATAAAAAAATAAAATTTTGCACGGATCTCCACGTAAGGTCCCACGAATATAGCATCGACTAAGACTTCGTTAAGTCTCAGTCAACTGAGATTTAGCAATCCCGTATTATTTACTCACACTAACTTCTTGTCGGTCAACCAACCTTCAACATCTTTTGGTAGTAGATCCTTGGAGGCCGAGGACTGCTATTTCTAGGTCTAGATCTTGATTCGATTGAAGTTTTTTGGTTCTTTGGTTTTTCGTTCCGTTTGATTTTTAGTTGATTTTTACTTTCCCCTTTCCCTTTCATTTTTACTTTTCTTATTAATCAAAATATTTATTTATTTTTTACTTCTTTTTATCCAGAAACATTCTTTAACGTATGACTATATTTTTTTCTGCATGAAATTTTTTCAAATACACAATAACCTCTCTTTTCACATATATGACAATTTCAAAAAAAATATTATGTGTAAATTTTGTACTATAGTATAATTTTTGGTACACAAATATATTTTTAAAAATATGGGATAAACATTTTATTTTATAAATGCTTTCAAAAATATTAAATATCGTCATATATGGATATAATTTTTTGTGTAATTTTTTTATGCAACGGCCATTTTATTTCATTGATATGAACATTTTATCTGTGAATGGATACCTTTTCATTTTTTCTGACTTTTTCATATTTGAAATACTCCCTCTGTTCTAAAATAAGTGTCTTAACTTTGTACTAACTCTAGTACAAAGTTGTACTAAGGTTAAGACATTTATTTTGAGGCGGAGGGAGTAGTATTTTGCAACATTATTTAAAAATGTTAATAAAAATATATTTTACTATTTCCAAATAGTTTTAAATTATTATTTAAATTGTGTTTCCACAATATTTTCTTAAATCTGCAATAACCTTTTTCAGAAAACATTTACCTTAATGGGACAACCTAGGGGCACATGGGGTGTGCGTCAAATGTTTGTTTGTTAGACAAGGGAAACAAATATTTGAATTGAACATTATTCCATGACTCCTATTTCAGAGTCCATCTTTAAGGGGGAAAGGAATATAGAATTAATCGCTCTTTTCCCACTCCCTCTCTATTGCATGGGTGGAAGAACTAAGATGGAGAATTTTGAAAAATAAATGGCTCTCTAAGTTGGCACACACGCTGTGGGATGCCCATCTCATAGCACCCCGCTGCAACACACTCCTGGGCCGTTGGTTGCACATTGATTGATCGCGAACCTGCTTATTTCGCCGAGATTCCCGATTGTTTGCTCCATCACTTCTGACACTTCTCGGTCGATCAAACTTGGTGACTTTTTTTGACACAATTGGTCATCTAAATCAATTTGTAATTGCAACCTTAAACTTTGATCTAATACCAGTTAATAAAAATCTGAATTAACATACAAGGAAACTATTCACAACCCACTGTCGACATTTATTAACTAGGCTTTGTGTGAACACCTATTCCCATGTTATGATTATGAGTTCTCATTAAATTGATGTAATGCAAAGAAAACAAAGCCAACCGTAGTTGACATGAATATGTTCGACCTAGATCAA